CTATAATGACTTTCTGCATAACAGCCTGTTTATTCAGTTCAGAAGTCAAAAAGATAAGGGCACACATTTATTCCAGGATAAAATTAATTTTAAAAAATTATTAGGTTTAAGTACTTACGGAAAGAAATCCAGTGTTTCTTAGAGAAACATAAAAGAAAGTTTGAACACTTAGGCTTTATAAGCACAAGTTTTTATGGCTGCTATATGACTGCTTAAGAGATGTAAACAGCCTCATTAATACTTCCAAATTATGACACAAAAATCATACTGTTATGAAGAGAAATGCTTTCATGTTTGGGGACAGTGTTTTTGTCTTATAGTCATAGACCCACTCTCTTGTTTGTAAACAATCCTGAAAGGCCACGTGTTACTGAGCAGAGGCAGAAAGAAGCACTAGCAAGTATGCATTTTCAAGGCCAGAGAACAAGACTCAAAAAGGTGACATACCTGTCACACTTTTTGCATAGAAGACATCAAAAGGGCTGCTACAACTGATTCTGTAGAATCTTTTGGAAACTACTTTTTGGTATTCCAGCTTAAGAACGTTCTCTCAGTGACAAAAGCAGTAATCAGAAACCTACATTGAATACCTTAAACCATTAAACATCCAACGTATAATGAAAATAGAGCTGTTCCACAGTCACAGTCCTCCTGAAAGGATCACAGTATTAACAGCAAAGGAAGGAAAAAATATCGTCAAGCCCATGAACTGCTTCATAATAAATTTTGAGAACTGTGAATGAGCAGCGTTTAGAAGGAAAACATTTTTTAAATGTTCATCCCCGTTCCTCCCTCAAGTTTGTTTTCTGATTGTTTCAGTATCTTGACAGTCTCGAACGCTTCTTTTCCAAACACACAAACCAATCTTTTTCAGACTGGCTGAAGAAAAGCTGAAAAAAATCTGGCTTCTGACCCCAAACTAATTGCCCATTAATGATTCAGTTCTCCCAAATGTTAATTTTAACCCAGCTCTTATAGCTTATAACTGAGACAAATTTAGGAGCATAATTTTTACTAGTAGATGGCTATTTCCTCCTGCTACCAGTTCAGCCGAGAAAGCACACCACTAAAGTGCTTCCAGAACTGTACAGTATTCAGCATCCTGTTAGGATGATAGCTGGGAACTATTTATTTAATAATTTTGGTTACTTGCTGCTCTATGGGAGAGCCCCAAGGAAAAAATAATTAGAAAACACTCTGAAAAACTAAAATCTAGGATTAGGTGTCATTCTAGTTTGACAAGTTATCAACCTAAAGCATCTGAAGACATGTACTAGCAAAGGAAACTTTTATATCGGTTTACAATGCTCAAATAGCCTTCTAAAGAGCCAGGGGTCACTTGGATTAGTCATGTGACAGAACACTGCAGAAACCATCTATTCAGATAAAGCAACGGTAATAAAGCTTGGAAAGACAAGTCAGTCCTTTCATTTGCGACACACAGGTTGTATATATAACTTTGTATGGTGACAAGTACAAAAATTAAGTGGCAAATACCTAATTCTAGTAGGGGAGGAGGCATGGGTATCATACTTGCAGGCAAATCAAATTTCTTTATCTGAACAGTCTCCTAAAAATCATCACTACTGTAGACATTTTGTACTTCAATATCTTGCTGAAAAATCCATTTTCAATGTATCCAGTTCAGATAAAATTGTTAGGTTTACCACAGCATGTATACTGCTTCATGAGACATGCCTGAACTTGGAGCCAGTGGGATCATTCTTCCAGTATTAACTGGCCATTAATTTTGCTTCCTGGCAGCTTGACTTGACGTGAAACACTATTTTAGTAAAGTTAAACACAAGTTAAAAAGACCAATAGCCAAAATAATATTTTTTTGTAAAAAGAAGATATAGAAAGAATAAGCTATTCAAAGCTTTTTTCCTGATTTCCACGCATAGAACTGGTTATTTCTGAAAGTAATAACATGCTAGTACTGGAAGTTTCAAAGCAGCCTTAAGGATTTCAGTGTTTCCCAAATTCCTTTAGACTCCACTGAATCACAACACCACTATCAGCTGTTTTCAGAACTGTAAAAACTCTCTGCAAATTCTTCTTTTTTTTTAAACTGAAATTTGTGTTATTTCCAATTTTCTTGAAACATTTTAAAATGTTCCTGAACATCATTTTAAAACTAAATGCATTGCCTTAAGTATTACGCAGTTTCATAAAAAAGCTCTACTTGTATCAGAGCCAAGTATCACAGTACCAGTTTAGAAAAATATGTTTTTCATTTTACATTTTTCTTGTGCTTCAAATAGGTTATATTACATTACTCATCTAGATAATTCAGGTCTACATAGAATTTAATTAAAAAGGTTTCATCTACAAGTCTTGCTTTTCTTCCATCTAATGGAAAAAATCAACATTTCAACCCTACTGCTACTTTTATAACCGCAAAAATCAAAAGCTTGTAACAAAAAACCCAAAATAAAGAACCTTTAACTCCTTACTATTGGCAACATAGACAAACTTGTCATTAAATATTAAAACCTAACCCTGCACTGGCTGTTATATATAAAATATAGCTTCCTGAAGATCGGTTTTATGCAATTTTCTGTTAGTTGTCTTTTTTTTTTTTTTTTAAACAGAAAAGAACCAAGAAGGGCTGAATTTTTTTTTTGGGGGGGGGGGGGGGGGGGCACTGTAGAACATCAGTCGCAGAAACTAACCCTGCAATAAAGACTGACTAGTACAAGTTTCAACTGCTAGGCAGCTCTCTTGAAATCAGCTGGACTATAAAGAGGCAGAAAGAGATTACTGACAGGAGATATGGCCTTAAGGCTTCTTCTCTGCCATGACCCAGTATAACATGAACAAACTCTATTACTGACAAGAAAGGGGCAGTTACTGTTCCAGCATCCCATTAACATGCATGTAAGTCAATGGTGCTAGCAGACACGCAAGAGAACTGACTTGAATCTTTTCTTGGAAAAGAGCAACTCTTTAGCCTTCAGAGACACATAGCCACTTCTATGGCTACAGACAATATGGAGGCTGTTGCTATGGAAATACAACCTGCAAGGCAAGGCAAAATATCCCATTCTAAGCTTGTAAGGTGAATGAAAATTTACCATGAGATAGCATTTCTTTCAGGAAGCGTCATTTACAGAAGATCCAATTGCATCTTGTTTGTTGTGTATTTGCGTATTTCTAGAAATCTTTACAAATCCTCAGTAGAAGATTGATTCAGTATAGATTTAGATTTCAAATCTTCTTGAGAATCATTAGATGGCTCCAGAAGATTTTTACCTTATCACCTGCACTTGAAGGGAGAAATACTCCCTTTAATATAGCATACATGTGCATGTTTAGATTTCTATATTGTTGGAAAAAAACCTTAAGTGCACTACCTCTTTTCAGGACTCTCTTGGTCAGGGTTTTTCAAAGACTGGGATAGTTCAGTTTTAATGACCAGAAGTCCCATCTTTCTTTCCTTTTGGATGACTGCTGCTAAGTACAGAACACTAGAGTTATCATTCCTTTCCTGATAAAAGTTCTACAGCATGATAGCAAATTTTGGTTTTCAGGAAGTTTGTAGGGATCTGCAGAAGTCAAATCAACAGCTCAACTTAGTTTCCTCCTATGTTGGTCCCCCAACACACATAAATATGCACTTTCCTCTCTATGTTGTTTTCAGTCAGTTAAACCTAGAGCACGACCAACTAAAACAAAATCATCATGGTAACACCATTATGTCCTGATATCAAGTTTCGTTTTCCAGTTTGTCTTTCCCCACTAGATGTTGCTTTGCCCCAAGAATAAACACGAACAGCAGCATCCATGGAG